GATCGATACTTGGACTCATAATCCATTCTACTACTTGTTAACGAACCGTATACTTGTGGTGGGTTTTAAATCGAAAGAAATAATTTTGGGTCAGACAAATAAATGCATCGGATTTAAAACGCATAAGATATACCCAAGTAACATGTGAAAAATTGTCAATAATTGTAAGAAAATAGTGTACACCAGTTGTGGAGCGTATGGTATATTCGCCCAAATACCACAATAAATCCACTTAAATATAAATGTACTTTTATTCTCAACCCATTTGACGGGAAGGCGAGTATGTTTGCCTTGAATACAATTGTCACAATTCGTGATTTTATTTGAACTACATAAAGATTTAGGAATGCAAGAATTTGAAGGATGATCTAAACGAAGATGCCATAAATTTGGTATGGTTGTAGGGTTGGCCATGATTTGAAATGCACCCGGAGTAAATTGCTTAAAATGGTAGAGGCCTCCACGTTCTTCACCCATTCCAATCAACATCCTTGTGTGCTGGTCCTGAAATAAACAAATAGAGGGAGCTAAAATGACAACACAATTGGATGATTTAGTAAGTTGTCTAACTGAAATTAAATTATAATTAAGTTAGGAACAAAAAGAACATTATAGAGACATAAATAGGGATAAATGTGAATATGGTCTATATGTTTGATTTGGGCCTTGGCACCAGTGGATGTGAGTGATTTGGAATGGGCCCAAATATGTGTTGCTCTAGATAAATTTGAAATGCAAGATATATGGGCTGAAGCCCCACTATCAATTATCCATGGGATTTGGGTGATTGAGGGAGAAATACGGGGGAACGCAGAAAGGACATTATTGTTGGCTATAGGAGTTCCATCAATTGTTGGTAATGCTTGTTTGAGAGACTAGGGATGACGCTCGAGGTGGAAGGAATTGAAGGGGCATACACCATGTTTGCTGTGGGTGGCCGGTTACTGGCTGAACCATGTGGTCGGCTACTGGCCAAAGCATGTGTAGATCATTGTGGGTGTTTTTTCGATTTATTGGTGGTCTAATGAGGGGGAAAACAAATGATCTTGAAGTAAGAGGACTCTTGATGGGCATCCCTCTTACATTTGGTGCACTTCTTACTATTGGGAGTGCGAAAACCATGGGTGACTGGAGAGTGGGTGCGTGTGACAGTCATGGCGGTGATTTCAAGACTGGGCAGCTAGGGGATTTATAAGAGGAGTTAGATTTCTTCTTGGTGTATGGTGGCATATGCTCTAGAGATTGTGGGAAGGGGATCCATAGGTAAGATTTGACTTCGGATATTGGAGAAGGAGTCATTGAGACCTATGAGAAATTGGAACAGTCATTCGATGTTGACTGCTTCTTGCAACCTGTTACGAGCATCGCAACTGTATGGATTGGGTTCGGTTAGGGCAATGAGTTCATGCCATAACCCTTTCATGGTGTTGTAGTATGTGGTGACAGACATGATATTTTGTTTGAGATTAACAGGTCACGTTGGAGATGGTAGAGGCGAGGGTGATTGCTCTGGGAAAAACGATTGTCCAGATCAACCATAGTTATTAAATCTGACCTGACCATTGACCCGGTCAAGGCACTGGGTCTCGGGTTGCTGGTCAAGCCGGTGGGTTAGTGGTTAGACCGGTGGGTCAATGCTTTATAATTATAAAATATTTTTTAAAGTATAAAATTTTTCTTTTAGATAAAAAAAATTAAATTATCTATCATTAATTATTTATATATTTATATATTATTTTGTTAAATATTCAATTCATGTTAATCAAAATAGTTACTATAATTTTTTAAAAATATTTTTAACAAACAATAAATGATTTACATATACATAATTATTTCAAATACATAACAATAAATACTTGATCTCTAGTGGTTAGGTGGAACTCACTTTACTTAGATGTTTAAGGTTCAAGTCCTTTTGAGAACAACAAATTTATGGATAAACTTTTAAATCTTGGTCAAACCAGTCAATCGGCCGAGTTAATATAAAAATTGCCAGTTAGCTCAATCAACTCGGCGGATCAACTCGATTTTTACCGAGTGAGTTGCATATCTATGAAAATATTCTACCCGGCCTGATCAGGGGCCCGGGTCACCGATTTTTTGACCCGACCGATCTATTCGGGCCGAGTTTTTATATCTATGAGATCAACCCAAATATCAAAACGTTGTATGTTATAAATCAAACTGTATCGAAGAGGTTTGTCAATCGAGTTTAAGAGCCAAGAAAAAACCATATCACTGGAACGATTCCAGAGGTTGGCAATTTGTGTGTCTGATAGTTTCTTTAGAGTACCATCAACAAAGACAAGTTTGTTTTTAGCACTGAAAGCTATACGTATCGAGCGTTTCCAGGCAGAAGAATTTTCTCCAGTAAGGATATTGGGCACTAATATGGCACTAAGATTGTCAGCAGAGGTTAAGAAATATAGCAATGTGAGATCATCGATTAATTGTGAAGGAGTGGAGGATGTGTAGTCAGACATGATGGTGTTGTTTTTGACGTTTGTGGAGGTTAGAAGAGGTCGTAGTGAAAAAAATGCTTTGATACCATAATCTTCCTTTCATATCTTGTACAATAATTGTGCATACATTTATATGTGAAAGTGTAAGCTATACATGGTAAATGAAACTTGTAATGGAAATGATCTATACAAGGAAAACGTTGGCTTGATTTCAGTGATTTGTACTAATCATAATAATCGCTTGATTTCTAGTTTGTTGTAATATAAGGGATACAATTTTACCCTAATCAACCAACTTTATTGAGAAAGATTACTTTTTTTAGACCAAGAAGTTGATAGCGAGAAGCTTGAATTGACGTAACATGAAACCTATTAGTCCGAAAGTGCCATGGAGAGCAACAAAAGTCCACGGACTGCCTAGCCTCTTTTTTTGTTCCAACGTATTATAAATAAATAACGATTTACTTGATTTGGTAACAAAAATGCTTGTTATTTATCATATTCAATTGAATATAAAATATTTTTACTTCGTTCCCCGTGGTGAATGAGATAAAGGAGGCGGCCTTCATGTCGACGGTGCCGCGTTGCTGAAATGAGCAATGTAGACAAGAAGATAGAGAATGAGGATCATGGAGAGAAAAGTGCTCTTCATTTTTTGCTGATTATTTTGTAAAAAAGTGACTGTGGAGTTTGAAGCTTGAAGGAAATTATATTGATGAAGAGAATTAGAGTTACGCATGGTGTTTATGTAGAGAATTGTTGGGGCGTTTTGACATTGGATTGCGTGGAGTTTTGAGTTTCCGCTGATGTCTTGGATTGAATTTGCAGGTGGTTTCATTAGAGTTGATGAAAACTTAGGATTAATTGAGAACTATGGTTAAAAAGAAGGTTTTTTTTTTTTGTTAAAGACATCCACACATCCTTAGTAATTTTTTAGGGTCCACCAAGGAAAGTCGATGGGGGTTAAGGGTTCCCCAACCATATTTATTTCATAAAAATCAAGAATACACGGAAGGAGGGGGCATGAACCTGACCTCCAAAAAGCAGTGATGCAACAAATGAATATAATAAATGAAAGCAATAAATGAGGAAGTACTACTTCCCTATACAATAAAGAATAGCCTAAATTACGAACCTCTGAAACTGGGCAATCCATGTCTGTCGATCCGCACTATCGCCCTAATATGTCGAGGCAGTTCTAGTGGTCCATACTCTAGATAGCGCCGATGATTCCAGCCTTCTGTAGCAAGAGAATCAGCAACCTGGTTGCCTTCTCTGTAGATGTGTGAAACCGTGTCTCTATCGAAGTAGACGAGGTCTCTGATCTGTCTAAGAATACCCTGAATCAACCATGGTCCTCCACCTTTGGTAATGCAGTGAATAGCCAATGTTGAATCTGCCTCGAGCCAGATAGCTGAAATCCCAGGTTAAAAAGAAGGTTTTTGTCAAGACACTGTTACTTATTTGTATTTTCCTTGAGCTAGCTCCACTGTACCAATCAAACTCTTGTAGTTAGCATTTCCGACCAGTTTCAAAAATCAGACACCTTCCTTGTTTCTACTTTCATACAACCTAAGAATAAAAAATAGATTTGCATATCAAATTAATTGAAATATTAAAATGGCATAGTTAACGATGACAATTAATCCCGTAAAAGCAATTATGACAGCTCCAGCATTTCAAAATTCACCTCATAATTTTTAATGAATAATGATACTCGTGTAGAGTTTTAGAGCTTGTTTGAGCGTGATTTTTTCTTCCAAAAAATTGATTTTTTTGACCGCTATTTTACTATTCCAATCGTTATATTTGAATTCTTCTCTCATAGGTGGAACCCTAACGGTCAAAAAATCAATTTTCAAAATCACTTCCAAACAAACTCTTAATAAATTTCGATAATGCAACCCTTCTACATTAAAATTTGAATACATTTTCATTCGCTCCACTTGGAAGTTTACATATTATTAGATTAATTTGACCTAATACTTACTTAAGATTAATTTTATTGAAAAATGTTAACTAATCTTATATTCAATTAATATTATAACTTATAAATTTAAATCAAAGTTAAACATTTAATCACAGTTATGTAATTAATATTCATTTATTATTTACATATTTTAATTTTTGTAAGATGCACAACTTTTCCTCTTTAAAAAATTTCAATGCATTATCTAAATGACAATCAATTTGAAAAGAGTAATGCAATTAAGTGGTTGAGTGGAAAAATATGAATCATACTTAAAAGATGTTCAATCAATTAATTTATACATTGGTACTAGGTATCGGTGTAGCTAAATAAGAGTTTGTTTGGTAGAGATGTTGATAATTGATTTTTTGATCGTTAGAGGTAAAGTGATATTAATTGTGAGAGAAGAATTCAAAAATGACAATTGAAATAGTAAAATAAATGTCAAAAAACTGATTTTAATTGACTGTTAATTCGTAACAAACAAATGGTAAATCTATTCTCAGATAAATCGTTTATACGAAGTTGAAAAACTTCCCAAGCATAAGCTTAAATGCGACATTAGTGTACCAATAATTTTCAAGATATATCCGTCTCTCTCCTTTCCCCAGAGGAAGAGTGTCCATGGATAAGCCACTGTCAAAGATAACACTCGAAATGCCTTCTCACACGCGCCCCCACGCACCGCCGTCGCCACTGCCTTTCCATTTATTTCCGGCGAGGATATCAAAAATTCTTTCTTTAGAACATTCCAAATTTTTGCTGGCCTCTTCTTCCAAACCCATCTTTAAAGGTTCGCTACACAAGAACAGAGTCCATTCTATCTCTCATGCCATATTCTCAAAGCTAGAAGGTTTTATTTTTCATTGCCTTCTCCAAATTCTATGAATTCTTAGTATATTTTGCCAAAGGTAAATTATTGACTTTGCCTTTATTTTATTTTTATTTTTAAAGTTATAGCTGATGCGGACAATGAGAGAGAGGGGGAGACATCTGATATTGCTAAACTGAAGCGAAAAGTTGAGGCCCTTGGAATAAAAACTTATTCTTGTATACCTGGGTTATATGATCATTTAATTTGTCCCGAGGTATTGTTTTTTCCTGTAAATTCTTGCTTTTTTTTAGTGTAAACGCACTGTTATACTGACCTTAGAAAATAACATCTATGATTTGTATTAGTATTGTTACCGGTCCGTTGTTGTCTGCTTTTTTTGTTATTTCAGTTAAAGTTGTACTTTGAATCTTCGAAGTAAGAATACAAATGTGTGTAGGTTACTAAATGAAGGTTCTATTCACAGAGGCAGGAATATTTTGTCTTAGTTTCATTAAAAAATGGGAAACTTTTAGTTTCAAATTGATTTGTGAAAAAAAAAAAAAAAATGAAAAAAGGAATTTAAGCATTCCATTTTTTCTGTTAATAAACAAATTTGTCTGTCTTGAGAATTTCTTTCAGAGTTTTGTGTGTGCTCGTCAATGTTCCCACAAGTAGCTAGAACTTGCTAACCATGCACCAAAAAATGCAATATAATTTATGTCTGTGTCACTATTTAATACTGAGGAATACTTCTTGTGGTCTTAGTGCAACGGTGGAGGATCAATGGAGAGGAGTCTATCATTTCATATTAGCCAAAATCGGTATCTTAATTTCTAAAGTATCATACAAGATTTCTAGTCCTCAAGATGGGTATAACGTGACAGTTATTTGGTATTACAGGAACTTTGCAATGTGGAGATGTTTTCGTCTAGAATGTGGATGGGCAGGCCAGGTGTCATGACTTATGGTTTAGATATCTTTCCCACTTCAAAATCATATTCCTTTAGCAGATGGTAATACTGATTGCAGGTATTTGCAGACAACAGAAAATTTTCTCCTGGTGTCCATCAACTTGCCAAAATCAATTTCCCTAGGTCATCATTGACAGAGGAAAGCCTAAGGCTTGAGCCATTGGGTGATGAGGTACTTCATATGCCCCTCTCTAGCAGAAACTAGGATTTGGAAGCAAACAAATGTGAAAGTTGTCATGTTTTTAACTTTTGATCTTCTTATGTTCTTTTTAATAAAGGCTTCTGTTGTGTTATTCCTATTGACTGTTTATCCAACTTTTGCAATATTTCAGCTGCTTACATATTTTGCTGAAAGAATGATATCCAAGAAAACACTGGAGAAAAATTATGTTATGCAAGTTGCAGGTGGTCGGGTAAAATAATTTTTGTTATTATACCTCTCCAATGGGAATTGTAAGTTGTTGATAAATATATACCTTAGTCTGTTAGATGAAAATAAGTAGGATGAAATTACCTGATTTCTTTGATAAACTGAAAGCCCACAATGTTTGTGTCAGGAATATTTTGTCAGATCAGTTTATTGTCTTTGTACATGGAAAATGAGTATGTGACTAGAGTAGCAATAAGGAGCTTCTGCATCGAGGTAGCTAATTTGTTAAGCATGTGGAGTGGGAATGAGAACGCAAAAGCACATTGATAGTGCACATAAAAATATTGATAATTCAGTTAAAATAATATATTACCAATAAATAGTATAAAATGAAGAGTAGTAACATAATTCTTATATAAATATATGTACAAGTAGACAAAGAAAATCACAAAAATTAAGAATGTGATACTAAAATGCATATGAAAGTTAGAGGCAAAGACTCAGTTGATAGCAAAGGTCATGCAAAATGAACAACTAAATAGTTAATTGTACAGATACATAATAATATAATATATATTTTTCTCATGAAAACAACTTCATCTTCAGAAATAATAAAGCCAAGGATAGGTTATTTTTAGACAGAATTGTCGGCTTGTGGTTAAAGGTGCTTAATGGCTGCATAAAACATAAGATGATGTTGATAAGCCCCCAATTAAGCATACTTATTCTAGAAGAATCAAGAAGTGTGGAGAAGAGGGAGGCAGTAACAAATTCTGTTAGAAGGGAAGAGTGAGGAAGGCAATTCGGTTAATAGTATCCTATAAATAGAAAAGGGTTGGGAAAGGATAGTTATGCAAAAACAATATTTCAGTAGAAGCGTGGGAAACTACTCTATGTTGCTCGAACTCGGGTGCGGGTGTGGGTGTCGAATACGGGTACATAACTAGGAGTCAAGATTCTTCTTATTTTAAAAATTAAGATATGGGGATACGGTTAAAAAGAATCCGAATTTTGTATACGGGTACGGGGATACGTCTTACAATTTTATTTTTTTTAATGACAGGAGCAGTTATGTTATTTTATTTTAATGTAAGTATTTAAGTACACAAAGTAACACAAATATAAATATTGAACAACCATTTTGAATAGATCAATTTAAATTTTCGTTTCTCGTACACAAATTAATTGACATTGGTTGTAAAAAAATGAACTCATAGTTTAGTTTGTTTATCAACTCTTTCGATAGAATCAATTTAAACAATTGGGTTATAATTTGGAATCAATTTAAATTTAAAGACAAAATAAATTCTTTTCTAACAAATTAAAAGAAAAAATCAATTTCAATATTTTATATATTATTTGAAAACAATTATAGAAATAAATTTAATTTTAATACAAAAATTTATAAGACTAAATCATTTTAATTACAAAATAAAAAGTTCACACAAATAAAATATAAGAAAAATTTAGTACAAAAATAAACTTATTAATCATCCCAATATAATAATTGAAATTTTCTTAAATTTTTACATTGAATTTTACGAGAGCATTCCAAAAGCCCATTTTACATTGGGTTTTACAATAGCATTCCAAAAGTCCACTTCAACCAATTAATTAGGGCATGCGTCTCCTCTTCACCATCTATTCTCTTCACCTGTCGTCTTCCCCATCCATTCTCTTCTTTCTTCCCCAACTTCTCTGCGTTATTTTCTCTGTAAAGCCACAAGCAAAGCCAGAAGCAACAATCTTCTTCTTCCTATTGTTGCCATGTCTGAGTGCAAAATTGAGTATCCGATCCATAGCTGGTGTCATTAACCATGTCATGTCGTGTCGACACGGATACTTCTCCATTTTTTGAGAGTCCAAGCATCATAGGAAAATATGGCCTCTAACGGCTGCCTTTAATTCTGTCTTTCTTTTGTAATTCACATTTCCATCAATACAAGTCTTCATTTTAGTTCTTTTCCTTTGTTTTTCTCACATAAAATTGAGAGTATCCTGGGCAGTACTTATCAATTTGGTATCAGAGCCATACAACCATGACGCTGGTAGATCGTGTGGGAGAATTGGAGCAAAAAGTGGAAAACCATCATCAGGAACTTTAGGCTGGTTTGGAATCACTACAAGCAGATTTCAAGCTAATGCATGCAGGGATGACAGAAATGCTCGAAATGCTCTTGCGAAAATGGGATTATCAGGAAAAAGAACGAAAGGAGAAGGGAATGGCCATCGAGAATCACCAACGTTGTCTGTCGATTTTGGGTCAACACAATCATGGCCCAGCAGTAGCCAATTCGTTGGGGGATGTACTGGTGGTAAATAGCGGGGGGAGCCTGGCATACGGCGATTGGAGATGCTTGTATTTGAAGGGATCAACCCTGATGGCTGGGTGTTCAGGGTGGAAAGATACTTCAGTAGCAATCGACTCTTAGAGGAGGAGAAGGTGGAGGCCGCTGTAGTGTGTTTTGACCGCGAGGCACTGGCCTGGTTCCAGTGAGAAGAACGGAGGAGGCCTGTGAAAACTTGGGAAGAATTGAAGGCGCAATTGCTCAGGCGATTTCGACTCTCATAGGAGGGATCCTTGTGTGCCCAATTTTTATCTCTCTGACAAACCTCTACGGTGAGGGAATACCATCGGCGATTTGAAACTCTAGCTACGCTGTTGACTGAAATCTCAGAAGAAGTGATGGAATGTAGTTTCCTTAATGGATTTAGGGCAGAAATTAGAGCCGAAGTCTAGTTACTGAGGCCTTTGGGCCTCGAGTAGATTATGAAGGTGGCCCAAATGGTTGAGGACCGAAACCTAATTACCCACCAAAGCCCTGGCCCAACGAAGCCCAAAAGTATTCCTTATCACAGCCCCAATCCCCCTCAACCCCACTCAGTCAAAATAGAAACACGGTTCCAGTAAATCTACCTCCCCAACGCCATAATTTTGTTCCCAAAAATCTAGCAGTATTCAAAGCCTCTCTGATTCTGAGATTCAAACCAAGAGGGAGAAGGGTTTGTGTTATAAGTGATGAAAAGTTTACAGTTGGGCACAGATGTAGGAATAAAGAGTTACAAGTATTGGTGACCAGCGAGTTCGAAGAAAGCGATGCGCGAACAGAGACTGGGCTGGTTGGTGAACTAGACGCCGACGAAGTCGAGGCTGACGACGACTTGGGTTCCATCGGAGATAACACCATGGGTCCGAGTCAGCCAGTAGAATTGTCAATAAATTCCATGGTGGGCCTCACAGCGCTGGGCACCATGAAGTCGAAGGGAATGCTTGGAAAGCGGGAGGTGGTGGTACTGGTGAATAGTGGGGCATCGCATAATTTTATTTCAGCTGAAATGGTTCAATGCCATTGTCCGGCACAAGAGGCTACGGAGTGATCATGGGAACAGGCTTAACAGTGAAAGGGGAAGGTATTTGTCGATGGGTGTACTTAAAGCTACCAGGACTGTTGATAGAAGAAGATTTCTTACCTCTGGAATTGGGCAGCTCTGATATTATTCTGGGAATGTAGTGGCTCCAAAAGTTAGGAGGGACGCAGGTGGATTGGAAAAGTCTAACAATGTCTTTCGAAGTGGCTGGGACGAAAATAACGTTGCAGGAGGACCCCAGCCTCAGCAGTACTCTCGTTTCGTTCAAAACGATGTGGAAGGCTTTTAAGGAACAATGAGAGGGACTCTTACTAGAATTGGGAACCATCACTATCGACTCCAAATTTATTTCGCCACAACTAACAACAATCATTACAGATGTTCTGGAGGAATTTCAATCGGTTTTCGGGGACGTCACCCAGTTGCATCATAAGAGAAGTCAGGATCATGTGATCATCTTGAAATCAGGGGCCGCGTCGATAAATGTGAGGCCTTATTGATACCCGCACTTTCAGAAGAATGAAATTGAACGGTTGGTGTGGGAAATGTCGGCGGTAGGAATTATACAACGAAGCACAAGCCCGTTTTCAAGCCCTGTGCTTTTAGTCAGGAAGAACGATGGAAGTTGGAGGTTTTGCGTGGATTACCGAGCATTAAACAAAGTCACTGTCCCCGACAAATTTCCCATTCCGGTCATTGATGAGCTGCTTGATGAGTTGAATGGGGGCTACGGTGTTCTCAAAGATTGACCTTAAGTCCGGTTACCATCAAATTCGGGTAAGAGCGGAGGATGTTCCGAAAACTGCCTTTCGGACCTATGAAGGCCATTACGAATTTCTCGTCATGTCTTTTGGATTGATGAATGCACCAGTCACTTTCAGTCCTTGATGAATTCTATCTTCAGAGAACTGCTCAGGAAATGTGTATTGGTTTTCTTCGATGACATCCTAGTCCATAACCGAACCGAGGTAGAGCATAGGGATCACCTACGTAAGGTTCTGCAGATTCTAGTGGAAAATCAGCTTTACGCGAACTAAAAGAAGTGTTTATTTGGGCAAAAAGAGATACAGTATTTGGGGAATATAATATCCGGGAAAGGGGTAGCGGCAGATGAGTCTAAAGTAGCGGCAATGAAAGAATGGCCTTGGCCAAGGCCAAAAACCTTGAAGGAATTGAGAGGCTTCCTGGGTTTGACAGGGTACTACTGACGCTTTGTCGAATCCTATGGTAAGATAGCGTGGCCATTAACTCAACGATTGAAGAAGGATAGTTTTGGGTGGAATGAAGCAACTTTTACAAAATTAAAGCAGGCAATGATAAAAGTACCGGTGTTAGCTCTTTCAGATTTTTCACTGCCTTTTTTGATTGAGACGAACGCGTTGGGATAGGGAGTGGGAGCTGTCCTGATGCAAAATCAGAGACCCATTGCTTATTTCAGTTAGGTCCTTCCGTCGAGGAGCCAGAATAAATCAATAGATGAAAAAGAACTCATGGCAATTGTGTTGGCAGTACAGAAGTGGAGGCATTATTTGCTGGGAAGGCAATTTGTAGTCTAGACAGACCAAAAGAATCTCAAATTCCTTCTTGAACAATGCTTGGTAAATGTGGAATATCAAAAATGGCTCACGAAGTTTTGGGATTTGACATGGCTATAGAGTACAAGGTCGGGCTGGAGAATAGGGCAGCAGATGCACTGTCAAGGAGGGAAGCAGCCACGACCCTAATGGCTCTTAGCATTTCTTGCAGCTTGCAGTTGGATGAAGTGATAAAGGCAGTAGAAGAAGATCAGGCCTAAGCCGCATTATGTCTACTCTAAAGGCTGATCCATCTTCTTGCCCTGGTTATACCCTCATTTAGGGGGTTTTGTTATACAAAAACAGGATCACTTTACCTCGGGGATCACCACTTATTTTAGTGATACTACAGGATGGACATGACAGTAAGGTTGGAGGGCATGGGGAATTCCTTAAAACCTTCAAGAGAGTGGCAGGAACTTTCCATTGGATCGGGATGAAAAAGGACAAAAGAGCATATGTGGCCTCGTGCGAAGTTTGCCAACAGCACAAGTACTCCACCTTAGCTCTTGCCAGGTTGTTACAACCGCTCCCTATACCAGAGAAAGTATGGGAAGATGTGTCCAAGGACTTCATGGAAGGGTTACCAAAATTGGAAGGGTTTGATTCAATCTTGGTAGTAGTTGATCGCTTGAGCAAGTATGCACACTTCATTGGTCTAAAACACCCCTTTGCGACACCTTCTATGGCAGCAGTCTTTGTAAAAGAAGTGGTTCGGTTGCACGGGATCCCCCACTCAATCATTTCAGATAGAGACAAGGTGTTCTTGAGAAAATTTTGGTGTGAGCTGTTTCGACTACAGGGTACTAAACTCAGACATAGCTCAGCCTATCACCCCTAAATTGACGGGCAAACGGAAGTGGTAAATAGAGGTGTGGAGACATTTACGGTGCTTTGCTTCAGTCCGACCAAAGGAATGGCATCACTTCTTACCTTGGGCTGAATATTTGTACAGTATCTCATTCCATGTGGGGGCACAACATACCCCTTTTCACATAGTCTATGGAAGGAACCCTCCGCCTCTGCTGCGTTTTGAAAAAGGGTCAACTATGGTATCCTCTTTAGACCAACAGTTGGCTGAAAGGGATAAACTTTTGGAGGAGCTCAAAATACATTTACATCGTGCCCAACAACGGATGAAAATCACGACTGACAAAAGTAAGAGAACACTGGAATTTTCAGTTGGAGATAGGGTGTACTTGAAAATGCGCCCATATCGTCGCAAGTCTTTAGCACACCATTTCAACGAAAAGCTTGCTCCTCGTTACTATGGACCGTTTACAGTAATAGCTAAGGTGGGGATGGTTGCTTATCATTTGGAATTGCCACCTGAGACACAAATCAATCGGTGTTTCATGTTTCACAACTACGAAGAGCTGTGGGGCAACATCAGCTGACCTCTCCTTTACCTCGCAATCTTGGGGCTGACTGGGAATTGCTAGTGGAACCAGAAGCTGTAATTGGAGTAAGGGCTGCTAAGGAAGGCTTGGAGGTGTTGATTCAATGGAAAGGATTATCTCCTTTGGAAGCAACCTGGGAACCTCACAGTCTCATTACTCGACAATTTCCTACCTTCTACCTTGAGGACAAGGTGGCTGAATTGGGGGGGGGGGGGGGGGAAATAA